CCTGCTGCCTTTCACGGAAGTTAAGAGCTACTCCTGCCTTCTGGGCAGCTCCTCTTTAGGTCTGAAACCCCTCATTTTGCAGGAGTATTTTAATTTATTTATTGAAAGCAGTCACTTTGAAACAAAGCCTGGATTGAGGAACATAGGATCCTGTAAGATGTATGGGAATGGTTTATTTTCCAGTTGCAGGTACATTACTCAGCCTGCTGAGAGCCTGAGCTCATGCACTGAACTCTGGGCCTGAACAAACATTTCCCTTGAAGCAGATCCAGTCCTGGAGACAGCTCAGCTCAGTGCTGTGTTTTGGGGGTGAGAGGGAGTGCTGCAGATGGAGTCAGCATTTGGGGTGTTACTCACAGTGTATTGTAAAGGTTTCACTTGGAGAAGCTTTGGAGTTCACCAGGTTTTCAGCAATTCCTGTCACTCTTAGCAAACCAGGTTTATTTATCCTTCAGTGTGTCTCAGCCGAGATCCTTTCCTGGGGCCTCATCCAGCAGCACTTTTAGTGCAAAGCTTGAAATCTGAGAGTCCTTGACACAACCACAGATGGACCTTTGTCACTGCTTTGGATGGAGCCTCTGGGATCCATAAATTATCAACCACCAGTCAGTGCTGCTGCGAGCAAACATTGACATTCCCAATCCAGGTGTCCCTTCAGCAGCTTCACCCAATCCAAGTTCTTGTCTGGGGAGGAGTCCTGCCAGTCCAGGCTATTTATGTCTGGGCATGGAAGTGGCTGCAGGAAAATGGCCCAGTTGTCTGGGGTCTGTTTTCTCTCTGTTCATTCTGGTTATACTCACAACTGGGGAACAGAGTCAGTGTTAGCACAATGTAAAGATCATCATGAAAACCTGGTGACTGTAGAGGATTTAAGCAGAATTTAAACTTAGATAAATTATGTTAATCTTCTAAATAAATTTCAGTTCTTTACATTTATCATTAGTAATAATGAAGTCTATAATAATAATAATTACAAAGAAATTAGTTTTGCCATATTTATATAAAATATATTTATAAACATGTAATATATTTACATTTAAAGTTAAAAAATCTGTTTAGGAATTTCAAGATTCTGTTTAGAATCTCAAGATTTTTAAAAAGCACATGAATATCAGCAAAATATGGATGTTTTTGACAAAAATGATTGGTAAAGTGGAGTTTTGACTATGGGAAACAGAATTTGAGGTGCCATTTATGATTGCATTGATTGACCCGTAAAGCTGCTACTTCTCAGACCTTTTGGGGCCTCTGGTTTCAGTTCTGATGCAGAGATCAGCGGGTTTCCTAC